GGTGGAAACTAATCAAGGAGAGAAGCAACTTAGAACTGAGGAGAAATTTCCTGACAATTAGAACAATTAATCAGTGGAACAACTTGCCTTCAGAACAGGGGGTTGGACCAGAAGACCTCCAAGGTCCCTTCCAACTCTGCTATTGTATATTGCATTGTGGGTTATTATTAAAATCAACTTCTTTTATGCCATCAGAAAGTTGCTGAAATTTAATTTGTAAGCAGAAGTAAAGTTGGGGGTTTCCCAGAATGTTTCGGATGCCATTGATTAGTCAGGCTAATGTTTCAATATATGAAGCTAATTATCTACTGAACTAGACAATTATTCTTTTTTCTTGACTTTAAAAACATGTATAACTCTTGAGAATAGATCTCCAATATACTGGACATAGTTTTCTAGATCTTCCTATTGTCATCCTGTGACTTGAGATACAAAAAATGGAAAATTGACTTTTGTTTTTACAAAGAAAGAATTTTCATTTCATACAAATTATATTTCTCAACTTCCAGTCCTTGAGAAAGAGAGATTCTCAGGTAAGATAGCTGTGGAAAAATGTTCTAGTAAGAATAGAAAGAGAGAATTGTGTATATTCATAAGGACAAGTAGGGAGACTATATAAGAGATGTGTGGAGGAAAAGAACACTATTAATTAAAATTGAGCAATTCCTTCAAAATATTTATTGTTTTGAATCTACAACATTCTGACTTTCTTCATAAGAGGAATTTGGGCAAATATCTTTTCCAATTACAGAAGAGTTAAATATAGATACTTGATGGTTCCATTCCTAGTAGCACATTAATAAACTGAAGAACCTTTTTCTACAATGAACCCTTCAATATAACTTGCCCTTTTTAACATTCTCTTCAGACCTGTCCAGTTGGTGTTTTGTAAATAGGTTGTGTTGATGTAAGATCAGAAGAATTTCTTACTTTTAGTCAGACCAAATGAAAAAATGGAAAAGCAGAAACCTAATTTGATTAGCATGATTATATATGGGAAAGATTTCTTGAAGACCTAGAAAATTTGAGTAGTGCTTCCCCATGAACCAAAAGGGCTAAAGGTAAAATAAAGGTTCCTGTCGCACATATATGCTAATCGTTCCCGAGTCTAGGGTGTGGTGCTCATCTCTGTTTCAAAGCTGAAGAGCCTGTCCAAAGAAGTCCCTATGTCACCAAGGCACTATACAACCATCTCCCTACCTAACATTCCACTTACCTTAGCTATCTGCACACACCAGTTGAGGAGGTCTTGGGATCCAATGCGGTCCTTATTCTCCCGCACGTAATCCAGAAGGCAGCCGTATGGCATGAGCTGAGTCACAAGCTGCACTGTGGAGGTGAGGCAGATTCCCAACAGCCGAGAGACGTAAGGGCTGCCTACACCTGCCATAACATATGCCTCCTGTTGGAATAGAGAGGGATGGAATTGAGGGATCCTGTGTAGGAAGAGAACTATCTGTAGGAGATTGCCAGGCTGAGTCCAAGAGGGAAATCAAACATCATCATCTGGAGTTCCTATGCTGCTGAAAGAGACCTAAATCCAGCCCTCTTTGAAATTTGCTGAATTTTTTTTGGCAGCAATTTGCCTTAAGCACTAGTACATCAGATTTTTGTCTATAGATTGCAAGGAATAAACTTGCAATGCTTCTGAACTCTATCCTGGCTCCTCTTTTCTTGCGCCTGACACTACTGAGAGACCAACAAACACAAACAACAGGAACCATGTAACAAATTAGGTAAAGATGGGGAGGTACACTGTCCTTTTCTGAAAGGAATACACCCTCCTGGGAGGTCATCACAGTTTTCTTACATCCAAAATCTCCTTGTTGGCTTTAGGTGAAGTGTTTTCCCTCAGGACTTTGATAGCTACTGGGATCTTCACATTCTCTCCATCTGGAATCCACACACCCTGCAAGGACAAAATAATAATAATAACAACAACAACAACAACAACAATTGGAGCCCTTGGAGCAATACCCAAAGGGCTACCTCGCTATTTGGAAATTTTAAATTTATCAGACTTGAACATTCTGAGTCTACAAAAAACCTCCCTACTTGGAACAGCTTATATCCTCCGACGTTACCTTAACAGTTCCTAGGTCCTTGGTTAGGACCTGAGCTGTTGAGCTACCAACCAGCCCCAAAGGCTGTGAATCTCACCAAAGATTAACCACATATAATAATAGTAACAATAACAACAATAAATAATATGGTGATGGGTTCAATCAGGTTATTCTTTAATCAAGAAAGGATGTGATTATGTGTGTATATGTACAAAAGAATTCTGTACCAAATTTCTCCAATGAGTCCTACCCAAATACCCAGCTCCATAGCAAATTAACCATGGTGATTTTTAAATAGTATTATTCAGCTGTAAACATAATTAGCAGTACTTCTAATAAATAATCAGGAATTTACTCAATCACAATGAAAATACAGATTTGATGAATAAAAAATGCAGTAAAAGAAAAAAAATATTTATAAAATATTCAGTTTTCAGAATGTTGTAATAAAGGACTCTGTCTGAGGATTTGGGAGAACTAAAGCACAAACATGTGTTTTACCATTACAAATACAGATAAAGATGTATTTAACAAATATTGTGAGTATTTTATTTGTTTGTTTGTTTGTTTGAAAAATGAAGGAAATAGAATTGGAATGGATGATATAGGTCAGTGATGGCGAACCTTTTCCGGCTCCGAGTGCCAAAAAGGGAGCGCGATTCATGGCACTGAGTGCCAAAAAGGAAGCATTTTGCTTGTGGGCACTTATCTAGGCCGTGACCAGGAAGAGGAGTTGCCCAGGGGGCATATACACACCAAAAAATGTATTTCTGGTTTCTTGTGCCCGGGCTGGCAAGTCTTCCACTTAGCTGGCTGAAAGTGCATGATCACTCTGGAAAATGGAAGACCAACTCTTCCGGTTTCTTGCACTGCCACATGCATAAAGGCCAGCTGATCGGTGCATGCGCATGTGCGCCAGAAACCCAGAAGAGGAATGGTCAACGCCACATGTCAGGGGACATGGCTTCACGTGCCACTTCGGGCACATGTGGCATAGGTTCGCCATCACGGATATAGGTTTTCTTATCCAACCATATGCTCTGTGCAAGATCCATTAAAACGTCTCTGAGAGGTAGCCATCCAATCTCTTAAGACCTTCGGGGAAGAGAACTCCACTAACAAAATTACAAATCTGGCAAAAAAAAAAAAATCCTTCTGAAAGAGTAGAGCTGGAATCATATCATAATATGAAAATATGTTTTAAGAGTGAACAGATACTGGTCAAATGAATGGCAAAGCAGCATCGATCACAAGGATAGCTCCATACTTGATCCCCAACTAATTCATTTCTGCTGCTTAATCCTCTTCTTGAATAAAACCAAGAAGTCACTATGGTTTACACTTTAACAGCATTCAAGGTAGTCCTTCAAATTTCAGAGAATTTTCTCATTTTTGCTGATTACAAGGACACTCCACACATCGTTACAGTGAGGGTACCTAATCAGCACCACATCTTGATCATCTCACAACTATGAACTATTCAACACCTGAGTCAATTTCCAGCTGAGATCCATCCATAATCAGTGAATCTGGTTTTTCATTAGAAACTGTGAAGCTTACAAAATGTGGATCATTTTCCTCATTGGTGGGAACTGTGGATTTATCATATCTCCCAGCTCTTATACATGTTCAGCCATTACTGCTCTATTTCAGTATTTCTGTAATCTTTTAAACTGAGCAGAAGGATAAAACCAAAAGATAAATTATTCATTTTTCTTTTGGTTTTATAAAGTATTAAGGATGCGGGGGGGGGGGATTATGGAGGAAGTGTGCTATTAGTTGTGTGCTGTGTTTTGTACTTTCTCTTTGGTCAGCGGGGAAGAATATTGATTGATTATTGATTATAAGAATATTGATAGTTATGTTTCCAAAGGCTGGTGAAGCATCAGTTTGCTTCAGAGAATTTAGTGAATGAAAACAGAGAAAGAGGGGAGATACTCTGAATTTCTCAGGGTGGTTTCCAGCCAAAGCTTCGCCTGTCATTTGCCCAACTTTAGTTATGTAGTTTTCAATTCCTGTTTTCCTTACCTTATACACTGTTCCAAAGGCACCTGACCCCAAAACCTTGACTTTTTTCAGTTCTGTCTCCTTGAGAATACGCATCTGAGCCTGGTTTGGAAGAGCTCCACTCGGGGTCAAAGGCTCCACTAACTAGCAGAATCACAGAAAGAAAGGAACATAAGAATGAGGGCATAAAAAAGAAGATAAATGTATTTCCTTCAATGAATCACCAATGCAAGAACATATCAATATTTTCTAAATAACACATATATAAATTAAAACAAAAGCAGTGCTATCTATCTCTCAGAATTATTGGAACATTTCTGTTTTTTTCTGGGTTAGATTTTTATCCCACATATCTTCCATATACAATTCAAGAAGGCAAATATATCAATACTCTGTCTTTCTTTTATTTTCCTCAAAACAACTATCTTGTGAGGTGAATTGGACCAAGAGAGAGTAATTGGCCTAAAGGCACGCAGCCATTTTTTTTTATAGAATTCACAGTCTCTTGGTTTCTAGGCTTGCATCTTAACCAGTGTACCAACAAGTTTAAACAGTGGCTAGCCACATCTTTCTAATACCCCTGAAAGCAGATTATAAAAATAAAGTCTTCTGGTATTTGTTCCCATGACTCCATTCAGCAGTATTTGGGTTATGACGGCAATTGGACTGGGATTGCTGTTGCTAAGTGATGCTGTTGTAAAGTATAATGCCACATGATCACATTGCTTAGTCATAGCAATCCCAGCATCTCCAGTTACTGTGTGGGACGTTAAGTGGGAAGAAGTAGGATTACTAGGCAAAGAGAGCGGCAGTGCCTTGGGAAGGCCAGAGTAGGCTGCAAAGATGGCCAGTGCATGGCTGGAGGGAGGCTTAGGAGGGCCATGGACAGGTTAGGGAACTTGGTTGTGCACAGGAAGAGGTGTGCTTTGGTGGGAGAAAAAGCAGTGGAAGACACCTACTAGAGCAACTTGCAACCTTCCCTATCTACCTCTTCCTTTGACTTTGCTTGTGGAAAGTCAGCAACTAGGGAAGGTTGCAAATGGCGATCATGTGACCAAGACCCATGTCAAGGTCATACTGTAATCATGAGCCAGATGTCCAGCATGGGTCATGATCACATGGTTAAGGGAAAGCTGTGATGAACAGAATGACAGTTGGTATTACCTGAACTGTTCTTTTGGGAGGTTTTGCAGGATTAGCCAGGATTGGGTATTATGATGTCCAATTGGCCTCAAGATAGAGTTAATTTGAAGCCACGCCTCTGTGCTCCTTGCTTCTGATTTCCAATTTCAACTAGTCAAGTCCACAGCAAAATACCTGAAAACAAGTCATAAGGGAACAAACCCTACCCCCTGAACTCACCAACCCCTGGACCAACGCTAGGGCGGGAACCTGGCTAATCCTGCAAAATCTCCTAAAACAACAGTTCAGGTAAAACCAACTGTCATTTTCCAGAGGAATTTTGCAGGATTAGCCAGGATTGGGACATACCAAAGTTAATGTTCCTTAAGGGGGGGGGGAACTATTGGTCCTGGACCCCTCATGCACTACCACCTGTTGTAACACCCTACGAACAAACACCGCATCAGCCGATGCAAGTGTGCTGTGATGCCCAGGGGCACTGGAAGGTGCTGAACCTCATAGGCCAATGCGATGGCCAGTTTGATCCACCTCCCTGTAGCCGAGGAGGACACCCTCTTCCCCAGGGAAGACGGATAAAAGGAAACAAAGAGCGCCTCAGATTTCCTGAGGCCTTCCGTGCGCCTCAGGTAAATGCAGAAGGCACACCTGACATACAGCCGGTGCCAAAGGCGCTCCCTATCATGAGACGGGTCCAGACAAAAATCCAGTAATACCACCTCCTGCGACCTGTGGAAAAGGGAGTTAACCTTGGGAACAAAAGTCGGATCTAGTCGCAGGACAACCTGATTATTGTGGAATGTACAAAGATCTGACCTGAAGGACAATGCCCCCAGTTCGGAGATGCGACGGACTGAGGTGACCACCACAAGGAACACTACATTAAAGATTACGAACTTCAAGTCAACTGTCCTCAGAGGTTCAAATGGTGCTCCTGTCATTTCTTGGAGAACCGTAGTGAGGCTCCATATCGGAAATCTGTGGACTACTGGGGGACGGTGATTCCCCGCACCCTTCAAAAACCTCTTAATTAACAGGACCTGGGAAAATGGAAGGAGTCTCTCTCCCCGAATAATCATGGAGAGGGCCGCCACCTGTCTCCTGAGGGTGCCATGTGAGAGCCCTCTATTCAATCCATCTTGGAGGAACTCCAAGGCGTGCGGTACCGAAGCCTCATGAGGATTCGCTCCCGAGACCCGGCACACTCTGCAAAGACCCACCAGGTGGAATCATAAATCCTATGGTGGAACCCTTGCGTGAAGTCTCAATTGTGGAGATCACGCTCTGTGAAAGCTGAGCGGCCCTTAGGAGCTCTCGCTCAATCTCCAAACAGCTAGCTGCAGCCACTGTGGCTCGGGATGCACCAGGTTCCCCTGTCTGAGGTCCACATCCCTCCCCAGAATCTTACATGGGTGTGACACCGACAGACACATTAGGTCCGCAAACCACATCCGGTGCAGCCAGTAGGGCACCATTAAGATGAGCTCCACCTTCTCTGATATCACTTTCCAAACTACCCCAGGGAGAAAGGGAAGGGGAGTGAAGGCGCAGAGCAGACCTTCCGGCTACGGAATCCAAAGCACGTTGACTCCCTCCGTCCCCTGAGCCGGGAACCGAGAGAAGAACCGATCCACCTGAGCATTCTGCAGTGTGGCAAACAGGTCCACCTCCGGATGGTCGAACCTGGAGCAGATGGCCCAGTGCAGTTTCGGAGAAAGGCTCCACTCCCCGTGGTCGACTGTGGCCCAACTGAGCCAGTCAGTTTGATGGTTGTTCACTCCTATGATGTGCTCCGCTCTGAGCGATCGAAGATGCCTCTCCACCCCAGAGTGTGTGCTGTCCTGTTGGTTGATGTGGGTGAGGTCACTATTGACCTATCTATCCCAGTGGTAGGGATGGCCACCTCCCCCCCGAAAGGGCCTCTTCCCCTGGGGTTGGAAGCTAGGCCTATCCCTGGTGTAGTGCCTATCCGACTGCCTATCTGATCTCAGAAAATACCTGCTGTGCTGCACCTCCTGACCTGACTGACGATAGAACTGCTTCCAAAAGTAAGGCACAGATTTTTGCTCCGACTTCTTTGCGGGCGAAGGCATGACCTTCTTTTTATTCTTGTCCTCAACGAGGATTGGGTCCAACGGGGTACTGAAAAGGGATCCCCCGGAATAAGGTGATGATGCCAGGTGCCATTTTGCCTTGTTCTCCGCTTGCCACCCCCTCAGTCACAGGAGACATCGGGAGGTCACCGAGGCCCCCATTGCCCATGAGGCATACTTCATGGCATGCAGAGTAGCGTCCTCAGAGAATTGAGCAACAGCAACTAGCTTGTTGAGATCTTGATGAGTACGCACCTCCTCAGGCGGAATCCTTTCCTGCATCTGTTTGTAGCCAAAGGATAGCCATGCAACTGAAGAACGATGCAGAGGCAGCTGCCTTGATGGCCCACGTGGAAGACTGGAATGTTTTATGAAGGGTCAGCTCCGCCTTCTTGTCCTCGGCCTTCAAGTAATCAGCCACATCACTGGACACTACCGTTGAAGTGGATGCCAATGCCACCACTGGAGAGTCCACTGTGGGCACCTGCAATGCCTCAGAGAAACTAGGTTCCATGTTAAAGAACCTCCTATCACTGCTGGTGGGGTTAGGAAATGTTCCTGGCTTTTCCCACTGCTTTTTAACTACCTCTAGGAACAAATTAGGGGCAGGCATGTCTTCCTTCGCTGGAGGAGGCTCTGAGTAAACTTGATCCTCCGGCTTTTTCTCCGGCCCACCCTCCTCGCCACTCTCCGTCTCACCCAGTTGCACTGTGGCCCTGGCCTTGCGCAACAGTGACTTGAACAAATCCGGATTAAACAGACCAGAGAATGCTGGATCCTCATCATCACACATATCTATCTCTCTCTAGACCTCAAGGGAGAACTAGGCCTACCCTTCTGTTCAGCCCTGGACATCTGCTTTTCCAAGGCCCTGTGCCTCCTTTCTTCATCCTTCTGCAAGGCCTTGGAGGATTTTCCAGCTGCTGCAGTTTTTCACAATCTCACAGAGGCTTGGGCCTCACTCGGGCCCCACTGGAGGTCCCCTCCCCAGGAGACAATTGGGGTGGGGAGAATCCGGCTTCTCCTCTGCATCTACTATGGTACCAGGTCAGGGCTCCACCAGGCTCAGCAGTGACCAAAAAATAGCTTACCCCAATCCCTCACAGCCTCCACACGATGAAATCAGCCTCTGTTAGACCTTTCCTGCCCCTTTTGCAAGCCATGTGGCTCCAGGCCTCCTGATGCCGATCTGGCCCTGCACCGCCTTGCCGCTGACGCCGCTGTACAAAGAATAACCACCCAAGAAGGCAGGGATGAAAACGAGGCTTCATAGTAGCCTCTGTCCCAGCCCATGCAGCCTGCAGGAATGAGGCCCCAAAATGGCCGCCATAATAGCATCCTGCCTCTAAAGCCCCAAGAAGCAACTTTTAAATCCCTTACCGGCG